AGTGTACTTTTGCCCTATAGGTGGTGTGGTGTACAATAAACAATTGATTTTAAAACAACTTTTAATTGTAAGGATGTGGATGCATTAGAATCCAATTATATTTATATGTGGCTTTGTAAACTTCTGAAATTTTTCTGCCTCACTTGACAAATCGATTAACTCCATGCAACTAAAACTGAAAAGAAGTGATAAAATTTTTATTAACTTTTTTATATCGAGTATTTAATGGCGATAGAAAATGCTTGTCTTATGTGCTTAACTTTTAATTATAACACTTTATTAAAGAGTCTTTTAACTACATTTACATACAAGTGCATTCACAGGAAAGTTAAAAAATATTCAGAGAATCGAGTTAATCGATTTGGTGAACGAAGCATTCATATATCATAGATTATTCGATTATTTATTTTCATAATTTCTATTCATATCTCATTGCAATATATTTGATAACGCCCACTATTGACGTACTTTTTCAATTTATTCTTATATAAGCTGGATGCCGGCAAATTGAACTGATCGCCTCAATATTACATACATTACGAGTTTTTGTTGATTTAATTCCTTAGCGTTTCAATGCCGAGAATAGCACAAAGCAACAAAACAAATGTCCAATAAACCAAAACATTTTTCTCTCTCTCTTCCATGTGATAGTAGGCGCTTTTTTTGAAGAACACTTGTTTACCATTTCAAGCATTTTCGAATTTTATGCAAATAAAAGCAGCTCTATATGAAAGGCTCTATAAACTTATTTATTTTGACATTGATGTTCGTGGAAATTTGTCTCGTTGCAAACACATCCCTCGCTTTACACGATTTTATTCGATCTTAGAGACGTTTTCAAAGAACAATTTTTAAAACAAAAAAAAAAAAAATGGCGCCGCAAAACATCATATTTTACTTGTACATATTTTTTATGAATAAATTGTTCCTCTTTTTCTTTTATTAAAGGAATAAGTTTTTCAAAAAAAAAAATTGTTTTTTTTTTTATTGCTTAATAGAGGCTTTCAACCTACGTCGAAAAATGTCGTTACCAGCAAAAAAATGTATATTAAAAATCATTACAGTTTTGAAGGATTTTTCCTAAACTCCAATAAATATGGGAAGAATTGACCACGTCTTCCCAATATTATGATGCACCAAAATGTTAACATTTCTTCAATAACACTATAAAGCGCAGAAACAAGCTACAAAAACCCCATAAAGTATATAAATTCTTAGGTCCTTTCAAACTTGAAATACGTCTAAACATTTCCGTCGGTCCATCTGTCCTTTTGGCCAACCGTGTAGTATCTGTATCTCCCGCTCGCAAAAAAAACAGATATTGCCTACAATTTTGCAAAAGAGAAAAAGAACATGCCTGCAACGCCCACACGTCTACACAAGCAAAACTGAGAACACCTTAGCTTCGCGTCTATTTTCCTCGATGGCCATAAACTACAACCTATACATCATGTATGTTTCCACATTTATTCTGCAAATAGAAAAAACCCGTCAAGCGCACTCAAAATTATGGACTATTGAAATTTATATTTTTCCTCTTTTTCAATCTTTTATAGGACAACGGCGATGGGTGTAAACGATTCGGTCGCGACCGAATTTAATTTTCTTAATTGTGTTTTTTTTTTTTAATTCAAATTTAGACACACTGTTGAATACAGAGCCCCGTGAACTAAAGATGAGTCCAGGGAATGGCTGCGGTGCTGCCATATATTAATATTTTTCAAAATTCCATTTTTTTTTCTAATACTTCAAAGTCTGCTTAATAACCTCCACCAATATCTTACTTTCTTTGCCATACAAAAAAAAAAAAAAATCCATAAGACATTCTTTTCGTCAGGCTGTTACAGTGGTCTACCCGTTACAACTATTTCATGTTGATTAAAAAAAAGCTTCAACGGTTTTCTTTCCGATTTGTAGGATTTTAAATACACAGGAGAATAAAAATTTTCATTTTCGATTGAAACGAGTTTATAACGAATCTATCAAGAGTGTAAAATGGCGAATAGATGTACGTTATAACATTTAAATAAAGTTTTTTTTGGAAAATTTTCGAAAATAAAAAAACATTTTTCAAATCTTAAATTTAAAAATTTTGCAAAAGTTTGCTATAATTGTTTATTTGAAAATACTATCGACAGTTTCTAAGGAACTGGTCATTATAGATTTTATTCTATGATAAATATGTTTACAATATTTAAGACACTTGTCGAAAATCTAATAAAAGTCATAAATTTTTATTATTGCCAGCGAAATTTGTTGGTATAATCATTTTACTATTCCGCAAGTAACATTTAGGGTTTGTGGTAAGAGATCTTAGAGTCGATTTAGTTAAGTCGATACATATGTCCATCCATGAGTACAGTTATGAGAGTAACTGCGAAAGTCTGAAAGTGTTACAAGCGGCTTATGATCTACAGAAAATATCCATTTTAACAATAGCGCAAATATTTTATAAGTCAATAAGAGAGTTCAGTACCAGCGAATTAGCTTCTTCTTCTTCGGGATCTTCTTCTATTCATTTTAGGAACTTAGAATTCCTCCTAGATGACTATAGTTTTCTGTGTGCTCGAAAGTCGCATAAAACTGTTTCTTAAATCTGCGGTAATAATTTTCCAAATATTTAGATAAACGAGTACAACGCCATGTTTTGTTCTCTTATGTATAATAAACTTTCCAGCAATTCTAGCGAATTATATATATATATGTATGTATGTGTATATCTATATATATACATACATATATATGTATATGTATAGACATATGTGTTGACTTATTTCTTCGATATATGTCCAAAAAATTTTATTCGTTTATGTGATCAAAAAGTCTCGAGAATTTTAAATTCTGGATGATTGATCAAATTACTTTTTAATTGATTTCAGTGGCGAGTTTTCAAACTACAACATCTGACAAAAGCAGTTTATTTAAGTGTTGGGGTATTTTCAATGCCTGTAATGAATATGTGGTAGTCAGATAGCCTAACATCTTCCTGCTCTAACAGGAACAAATAAAAATTATATAACCATTTTAGAGTAATCTGTCGATACCTGCTGGGCCACGCATGTTCTGCGCTTTACTGCCATATTGCTTTCTTTCCAGATATCAGCTATCACTCAGAAGACGCCACCTGGTCGGGCAGCACAGCGACAGTCGGAAAAGGAAGGGAGGAAAAGGAAAGAGTTAGGGAAGGAAGTGGATGCACCCTAGAGAGTCTGTGCCCAAACGGTAAGTGTTATGTCTTTAACGGCCGAACATTCGCAAGCAAAGGAGAGACTTTTTTCCATTTCAACACACGCATGAGCAGTTGAATACTATAAACTAGTGATCGTAACGTAAAAGAATTGAATATGCAAGTCATGGCATGAATATATTATTTTTAAGCATCGACATTTTCGTGATACGCAGAATAGCTTGTCCCAAAAAA